GTGAAACTAGTAGAAATATTAGTATCACATGTAAAGGAACAATATCAAGGATAAGCGGATCCTCAAGAAATTGAAGATCCATCATTTGACCCACTCTTTGTTTTACCTATAAATACACAAGGTCTAGTGCAGTACATTCGTAGTGGGAGAGAACCTTGTTAAATCTCAAGTTGTTTCTTGTTGAGTGACATTGATCCTACTAGTTACAATAATGCACTAGAAGATGTTGTTGATCAAGTGTTGCTCAAGCTATGAACAATGAGATGAAATACTTGTATTTCAACTCCGTTCGGTCCTAGTAAAAACACCAAGAGGGGTAAAACCCACAAGGTGCATGTGGACATAAAAGGCAAAGAGAGGATGGACAGAAAGGTGAAAACCTTCAAAGCTAGCTTGGAGGCAATTTTTGCCAGACGCCATGCTTGAGTCTATCCAGATTCTCTTAGTTGCTATAAGTCTCAATTATGAGATTTCATTTTGGGAGTTGGATGTCAGGATATCTACATACAACAACCAAAAGGGTTTATAGCAAATGAGTAGGAACACACGGTATGCAAGTTGTGAAAGTCTATTTCATAGACTTAAGCAAGCATCCAGGTCTTGAAATATCAGTTTTTGATCAGGTTATCAAAATTTTGATTTTGAGATAACCTTGATGAATGATGTGTATTTGTATGTAAAGGATACAACGGAAGACAATAGCTTTTCTGGTACTTTATGTAGATGATATGCTCCTTATTAGAAACAATGTGGAGGTAATATCAAGCATAAATAGTTGGCTAAGTTAGTGTTTTGGTATGGAAGTACTGGGGAAGCCAATTATATTCTTGGTATAAAACTCTTATGAGGCCGGAAGAATAAGTTGTTGGCATCACCTCAGGCTACTTACATTGACAAAACCCAAAATTCAACATGAGAATTCTAAGAGAGAAGAATTATAATTCTCAGATGTGGAATTCATCTTCCTAAGGAGTGACCAAAGACTTCTAAGAAGGAAGAATGCATGAGCAAGATATCTTATGCTTTGGCAAAGGTAGACTCACGCATATCATGTTGGGCGTTAAACCAGACATCTGTCACGTAGTGGGAGTAGTGAGATAGTACCATTTTGAACCTAGAGGAATACTAGATTATTGTTAAGCATGTACTCAAGTATCTTTAGAGAACGAGCGATTATATGCTGGTATATTCTAGTGGGAGTCTTGAAAAGCTGAGTTTTCAAAAATTCAGTTATTTCAAGTGGATATTGACTCAAGAAAATCAACCTCGAGCTATGAGTTTTTCACTAAACTCAGATAGCATTAGAGGTGGATCTTGCAGACCCAGTTACTAAGAGTTTGCCTGAACTTGTGTTCGAGAGGCATGTTACTTCTTTGGGTCTTAGGAGAATCCCAGACTTGCATTAAGCAAGTGGGAGTTATTGGTTTTATTGTGCTCTTGGAATAAGACGATGAAACAATAAAATCATTTTCTGAATTTCATAAATAAGGTTTTATTTATTTATTTTGCTCACTATTTACAAACATAAAGGTCCGGATCAAATTGTGGAGTATATGATCATATGGATACGTTCATGGAGGACATGATCATAGGATCTCACAATTGATGAATGGAGTCACAGCCGTTAAATAAAGTTGAGCACTTTATTCAGGTTGCAATATTTTATGAAATGATTTTGTCCGAATCATTGTAAAATATTGGTGTGACTTAACATTCACATTGAAAGGATCAAGGAGAGATTTGATTAAGGTTGTTTTTCTGTCATAAGGTATCAAATCTCCAGTTAACTATAGTTATGTGATTGCTCTTAATCCTGAGTTTATTATAAATAGGTAATCAAATAGTTTTCATTCTTTGATTTACCAACGGGTGAGGTTCGATCTATTGACGGCCAATAACTCGGTATTTTGGGAGTGAGATTATTTGATTATCGGTATTTATGAGATAAACAACATGGAATTTGTAGGATATGTCCCCTTGATATGTTTCGGTATTTGGATATTAAAGAAACTGGCCAGTGCATGTAATCCATTAGAGAAACTATCATAGTCAAGGGAATAAATAATTGATTGAGTTACAGAAAATTTGTCAATCAATTATAGACATTCTACAAAGGGGCAATGCATATTCATGTTATAAGTGTTGTTAATCTTGGAGTTCAAGTTCAGGCTTTTAGTGGAGTAGCACCGAATTAGATAATCATTCGTTGATTATCAGGAGCCTTGATTAATAACAGATGGTAGATCCCCAAGCTAGCTTGAGACAAGGGATGGGGTATTTTTCGGATAGATGATGACTTATGGGTTACATGATCTTGGGTTTTACGACTCAAGTTTGTATCCAAAAGAGCAAGTGAGAGATTGTTGGGTTTGCTCTTTTACTAAAGCCCAAATGGGTTATTAGTATGAGAAGAGCCCAAGGAACCTAGAGCCCAATGAGCTAGGGTTTCTTGGAACCCATATAAATAATACCTCTTAAGTCATCAGCCGCGGGGAGGTCTTTTTTGTGAGAAAGAGGCAAGCTCAGAATCTAATCAGTGCCCACACACTTCCCCTTCCTCCTCGAGAGATAGTTTGGAAGATCTGCCACAGTCCAGCTTCAAGGAGGTTGTTCGTGCTGCGGCGCTGAGGTGAGCTGTTCGTGAAGAGGAATCCTACAAGGGAAGATTCTACACGAGACCTGCGCACCGAGAGGTAATTGTGAAACAAGGATGATTCGGTAAGCATACCAATGTACTAGGTCCTACACCGCTTCCGCATAAATCTAAGATTTCCTACAATAGTCGATCCATATCCAAGTAAACTTGTTTTTATCTCCAACAAGGTGGTTTTGTGATTGAAAAGGATTCAAATCCTTTCCCAACTACATGTAGTTTTTGGTTATTCAAAATTGTATGGCTTGGCTTACACTCGTAGGAATGATTTAGGTTATAAGTAAGCTTGAGTGGCCTTTGCAATGTTAGAATTTGAATTTAAGGGAAAACATTAAACACTTGTGTTGAGGAGCAACCTTTTTTTAACGATGATTACTCTCACACCCAAAATGAAATGAAAAAAAAAACTTTTAAAACCCAAAAAAAGAACATCATGGCTTCGAGGTGATTGACTCTTATGGTTTTAAGTTGCAGTTCATGAGTACAATGTTATTAACAAATATTGTGATTTTGAAGGTCTTTGCAACCATAATTGTAGTCACATCAGCTGTGTCTTGTTCCAAAATTTGATAATGGCAACACAACTACAAATTCAATTGCGATACGATTTAAAGGCTGGTTGACTATATTCTATGTATTTTAGGGGGGAAAGAAAAGCATCATATATAACACAATTTGTTTCTTTTAACTATTTAATTTGTTGCATTACAAGTCAAGGGATGAGGCTGTTGCAGTCATTGTCCAGGAAATGGGGCACTACAAACTCAATAATAGACTAGCATTGCAGCTAATTTAGAGGGTTTGTTTTGCATCTGTCATCCTTCTTTATTTGTTCTAAGATTCTGGCACTTAAAAGTTTAGAGTAAACACAAAATTTGTTTTTGAATGATTTTCGAAACCTCTGGTTTTTTAAATGTTATCAACATTTAGGTAGTTCTTAAATGATATAATATCAATCTGGTCTTCGTAAGAATAACTTTTGATTTTTGATGTTAAAAATGTGTATCATCTGAGGACTAAATTGATGTAATATACTTTCAATTACAAAAAGTGTGGCTTTAATATTTAATTATACTCTAGGTATTGTCACTGGAGCCCTAGAATACACACATTGGTTTATTGTTAATAATAATTCAAATAAATGGTTAGTGTTTCAACATTCAGGCCGGTGCTTGGAAAGAACTTAGGTTATGGACAAGCTCTTAAATCCGGTCTTTATGAATCTTCAGGTGATTATATTATTTTCAAAGTTTAACAAGAGTAAGACATGTGATTGCTCATCCATTATGTATTAACAATGCTCCATGTCTAATCTTCAATAGAGTACTATAGGCTCAGATACTCTGCATTCTTTTCCCGCAATATATTGTGAATCTTTGTAATAACTTACATGTAAACTTTGCAGGAGCAAAGTTCTTCTGCAGTGAACATAGATCCTTGGTACTCGGATTATAACTGGCTATTCTCATCCACCATTTGCAGATCAATGCTTGGCTGGATCTGATGTTCTATGAAACAAGTCAAACTCGGTGCTTCCATGTTCTCTTGCCAGGTACCAGCAATTCTTTGCACCTGGTTTTCAAACAACAAAAGTTGCATTTGTGTATTCATATTTTACACACGTATTGAGACACAAATCTTGCAATTTGAGTCGACGATCCAAATCCTTTCATACACCTCTCCACAGTCACATCACAACCACTTAATTTTGTTTTTTTAATAACATTTCACATAAAAGAAGAGTTGATTTCAAAGAAAAAAAGAAAGAAAATAAAGAATCTCTTTAGAGCTATATATGCAGTCTCAGAATACGTGTGTGCACTTTATTGTGTTGGCATAGAATACAGACAGCTCGAGCTCGAAGAAATTCATAAGCAGGAGTTTCTAGAATGACTTTCTTTATAACTAATCTTTTTCCTTTCATGTTAAGTTTATCCATTTTTTTCTTTTCTCTTTTCATATTATAAAGTGCAATACGTGGTGAATTGTTAACCACACCACACGTTTGATATCAAAGTCATCATATGCAACTCGTGAACTCAGAATGGAACGTGGTCGTGAGGTGAACACCAACCTAAAAGTGAAAGAAGCCCGGGTTCTAAAGGTTTAACGATTCAGGAAATGCGAGAAAATGAGCAAAGATCTCGTGACAAATCCAAAAAGCAATGAACTAGATATATTGCTTTTAGAGATCACGTTATAGATTAGGCTTTTACAGGTGGAACGATCAATAGCCAAGTAGCATGCCCATGATCTAGAAAACGCCATTTGAGCTTCCAAAAAATGTTTGTTCTAAGAACATAAATATCTTTGTATTTTAATACTGATTTGGTCACCTAAAAGATAATGCTTTCCATCCAGTCATGAAATCATTTGAGTACGTCGCTCACCTAAAAGGTAATTACATTAAAAACTTGCAGATATAGTGAATATAGACGCCTCAGACACTAGTTCAAATCAATACTTAAAAAAAAATCTAAAAGGTAGAAGAGTGGGAAACTTGGTAGTACTGCATTGCATGACATTAACTCTTTTACGTGTCTCATTACATTCCCATCATCCACTAATAAACTCAATACAAATAAAATTGCTATTTGCTGTTTGCTATTCGGTAGCTTAGCTAGCTAGGCGTAAACTCTAACTGTGATTCTGGTTCAATTCACGATTTGTTTTTGCAATTTTGATTGGAAAGGTGAAGACCCTTTTGTTCAAGTTTCAACATTGAACATGGCCACGAAAGAGTCAAGTTCTGCTGCTTCTGCTTCTGCTTCTGCTTCAGGGGATGCTAAAATCAAAAGGGTTCTCACTCATGGTGGTCGATATGCACAGTACAATGTGTACGGAAACTTGTTCGAGGTGTCCTCCAAATACGTACCTCCCATTCGCCCCATCGGCAGAGGGGCTTATGGCATCGTCTGGTAAGTGTTTCGTATCCATTCATAGGACCCCAAATGCATAAATTTGATATTTATTTATTTACTTTATGGAAATGATTTTATGTTCATTGGAACAACCTTTCATTCTAGTGCTGCTGTTAATTCCGATACACACGAACAAGTTGCCATCAAGAAGATCGGAAATGCATTTGACAATATAATTGATGCTAAAAGGACATTGAGAGAAATCAAGCTCCTTCGTCACATGGACCATAAAAATGTAAGTGCTCATCTTTTGTTTAGTTCATCTTTTCTTCCCTGTAAAGTGAGGACGTGGTTTTTCTAATATAATATGTTAGGAAAAACACATGAAGAATGTTTTCAGGTACAATTTTTTTTTTTAATAAGTATTAGTTATGTCATAACATTAGAAAACAATTCTCATAAAATATAAAATATGAGAAAAATTAAAGCCTTATATTTAACGTGTTTCTTTTTCTCCAATGTTAATCTGTCAAAACAAATTACAGTATTCCAAAGATTGAGCTGAAATTAATTACCTCAACAAGTTATTGACATTTTCTTGCCAGCAGTTCTGAGTGTTTAGTAAGAAACTTTTTTAATGGTCTATATTTAATGTGTTCCTTTTTTATGCATATAGTTCTGCGTAAATATAAATAAAACTAATCCTTGTCTATTTAAAAATAGGGGAAATGATTTCTGCAGAAGAGAAATGAATAAGTCCGTGGCAGATTTTTTTTTTCTGAAACATAAATGATTTTTCCTTAAAAACAATAATGATAAGAAATCAGATTATTCCGTGGGAACGAAGTCAATGAACAGTTTAATATATTTTAGAATCGACAAACCTCTGAAGCTAATTTCCACGCAATACAAATTTTATTTGAAAAAATGTTACCGAGAAGAAAGATTTTAAAATGTACATATGTCAATGGTAATGGACAATTTTTGACTTTTTAAATACCCCTCTCCGACAACTATCATGGAAGAAAAAAAAATCTTGTTTTCGGTACATTTACTGTACCTACATGGTTATATCCTTTTCAAAAGTAGTAAATTATTAGGACTGAATGGGAAATACAAAAAAAAATATGGATTCATCTGAGATGCAATTTTTCTAATTAGGGAAAATGGGAGGGACCAATTTCGATACTCTAGTGCTATAAAAAAAAATCCCTTGTAATTCTTTTATTTATATATATATATATATATATATATATATATATATATATATATACATATAATGAAAAAATATTGTCATTTTAAGATATTTATTGTCCTTATATTATTGTCCTCGTCTATATATATACCATGGAAAAAATATTTATTATTTTAAAAAATACACTGTGTGTCTTTCCCATATACTATTGTTTCGTGTATATTTGTGGAACTTATTCCCATTTATAATTACCTTTCTGTTTACATACTTACGATTGCTATCATTTTTCACAGATCATTGCTATTAAGGATATCATACGACCTCCCAAAAAGGAGACCTTTAATGATGTATACATTGTTTATGAATTGATGGACACTGATCTTCATCATATAATTCATTCTGACCATCCTCTTAATGAAGAACATTGTCAGGTTTGGTTATAATGATATTTTTGTATCTTACTTGTATGTCATATTTAATTTTTTTCAAAGCAAGTCTGTCTTGATAATATTTTGCTAACATAACGATATCTACCTCTAGTTACAAATAAAGATATAACCCTTATGTTTTTTTGGTTGAAACACATGCCTTAATGTTATATTAATTAAGGGGGAAAATAATGTGTTAGATTGGATTAGGTTTTGATATAAATAAGTAATATTTATGTAAAATATCCTGAGTCTGGCCTGATTACTAGTCTGATGTAGGTTAAATTATAGGTCTGACTTGACCTATATTCAAAATAAAAAATCTGACCTAGGCTTAGAACCTATTTAATTTGTTTAAACTTCTTAAGCCTTAATATCTATCACGAATTAAAAAATATAAAAAAATATTTTTTATTAATTAAAATTATTTAAACATTTATTTATTTTAATTAAAATAAATAATACTATTTAGGTGAACATGTAAACTCATAGATCGGGACTTATAAAAGTAGGCTTATAACATATTTCTAAATAAGTTATTCTTCAATCCGGAATCTGTTTTATTTTACTAAATAAATTAGGAAAAAATATTTATTTTTCTAAATGACATAACTTTCACAAAGAAGTGAGACCCACATCTTTATTTATATTTTTTCTTTCTCTCTTCCATGATCTATTTTTTTTCCACTTAAAATAACATAATTTTAGTTAAAAAAAAAAAAAAAACATAATTTTATATCTTCTAAAATGACACGTTTTATTCCATAAATTAGACTATAGCTGAGGCGCTGGGCCCATAAGTTCTTTGTCTTATGTAACCCCTTAATTAAGGTTATAAACTTTAGACCGAGCATATGTAGGTTTAGCATTCACATTCTACACAGAAAATGCTCTCGGTATATTCCACTTCAGCGTGATAGACATTTGCCTGCATTAACCAACAAACTCAAAGAACTACTGTAACATAGCTAGTCTTCTTATCTTTTGACATAATGTTCCCAATTCCCATTATAACCTAGTTTTGAAAGTGTGAAGTACGTAGGTAAGATAATAGATAACCTTGAAATTAAAATCTCTTTTCTTTATTATGATAAGACACAAGATGACAAGATTATCGCACAAGAAAACACCTCAAGAAGTTCCGAGTTATGATTTCTGCTTTTCATTGAGTTTGAAATTAAGCACAAAATTGATATTCCATGAAACTTCTGCAGTATTTCTTATATCAGCTGTTACGGGGGCTGAAATATGTGCACTCAGCTAATGTTTTGCACCGTGATCTTAAGCCCAGTAATTTACTAATGAATGCAAACTGTGACCTTAAAATCGGGGACTTCGGTATGGCAAGGACAACATCTGAAACGGATTTCATGACAGAGTATGTTGTCACACGATGGTATCGAGCCCCAGAATTGCTACTTAATTGTTCTGAGTACACCTCTGCAATTGATGTTTGGTCTGTTGGTTGCATTCTTGGTGAAATCATGACCAGAGAACCCTTGTTTCCTGGGAAAGACTATGTTCATCAACTAAGGCTTATAACAGAGGTACGGTTTTGGTGCTTCCATTGTTAAGTTATGGTCTGAATACATAGAATGAATTTTGAAGTTGTCCATAATGGATTGGACACCCTTCCAATGCTACAGTACAAAACCATGCTATTCTGATTCTTCCTGTTTCTTGTGTTTACCTTCCAGGTCTTAGTTATTATTAATTTACTATTGTTGATGAATGGCAGCTAATAGTTGGTTACATTGTATTAAGCCAATTTACTATGCACTGATATCATAGTCCATATTGAATCTTGTTACTGTCAAACGAATGTAAAGAATGCATGTAAGCTGATTTTATAGTTTGATATAAATTGATGGCTACAAGTTGTAACACCATACATACATTTTGTTTTCCTTTTTTGTATTAAAGTTAATAGGTTCACCTGACGATGCCAGCCTTGGATTTCTCCGAAGTGATAATGCCAGAAGATATATTCGACAGCTTCCACAATACCGGAAGCAAAAATTCTCGGCTAGATTCCCTAACATGTTGCCTGAGGCACTGGATCTGTTAGAAAAGATGCTTATCTTTGATCCAAACAAGCGCATTACAGGTATTCTTGTAGAATTTCAGTTTCAAGGTTAGATTTGTAGCTTGTTTATTAGATATAATTTCTCTCATTTGCTTCATATTTATGTAGTATTTTCATTTATTTGCAGCTGAAGAAGCACTATGTCACCCATATCTTTCATCACTCCATAACATCAATGAGGAGCCAGTTTGTCCCAGGCCTTTCAGTTTTGATTTTGATCAGCCAACATGCACTGAAGAGCACATCAAGGAGCTCATATGGAAGGAATCAGTGAAGTTCAATCCAGATCCACCCTGTCAGTAATTCTTATTTGTATAAATGTAACAAGATAAACCTCTTTCCCCTTAAAGACATTGCATGTCCATCGTCCAGATGATTTGCTAGGGACACGAGTTCACTTTCTTGTGATCTAGTCCTAAACCAACGAGGATATGAAAAGAAATTTCTCCTGGAAAATGGGTAATCGTTAAGAATGCAGTTGGATGTTACAAGCATTTATACAAGTAATAAAAAAATGCTGTATTATGCTGAAGTTTGCTTTAGAAGGGATAGGATGTTGGGGTCTTGGCAATTATCTTTAAATGCAGCTTTCCAGTTTCAATATTTAGATATGGCACCATTTGTTACATGTCTAAGATGCCTAGCTATTACGTATGGTGATTGGTGATTCTTCTTGTTTCATGGCTGAATTCGTTGACTGTGGTAAAGCGATATTTGCTAAAGTAACACCAAGAGTAGGATTCCTGTAAATCTGTAATAAGTCTGCATAATAAAACTATCTGCATATTTAATGCAGCATCAACGATGAAAAAAATTGCCTGCTCCTTATTTTACCTATTTATATATTTTGCAAGGTTCAGTTAACGCAAAAATAAAATAAAAAACAAATCAATGAATTTCACAAGCAGATAGCAAAAACGTGAATTATAATTGACTTGGTCTAGTTTAATTATTCGGGTTGCTCTTGTTTTGAATTTTTATAAGTCTCCAATGTTCTAAATACATTTTTGAAGTATGACGCTGTTTGGATTGTTCCCTTGAACCGAGCCATTCCTTTTGCAACGTTATACATTCCTTCTGTAAGTGCACGTTTGAACCTTGACATCTTCGATAGGCAAACTATCTTCTGGGAAGGTACATGCCCCATTATTCTTTACTCCCTGGTCTTGCAACAACAGATCACATGGCACAGGAGTCACATCACTTGAAATCCCAGCAACATCAGTGCAAGTCCATGGAACTTTTTTGGCCATCTTTGCTAGTTCAATGGTTACATTTGATATGCAGATTCCAGTAAATGGGGCACTGGATAGACCCTCCAGCAAAGCTGCCATAGTCACATTCTCAGCAACCATATCACGATAATTAATATTCTGAATCACAGGCAGTGCATTAGGATCATAGTTATTATCAGCATGAGATCCATAATTTCCTGTCATCCAAAATGCCCATTTCATTGTTTTCATTGTCATCCTTCTAACGTATATGTCCTTAACATAGCCTCCTCTCCCTACACCAGTTTTGATCCTAACCCCTGATTCTGAATTGATGGCTACAATGTCCTCAGCCCTTACATCCTGAATCCCACCAGACATCTCACTCCCTAAAGCAATCACAGCACTGGATGGAGAAATACAAGTGAGTCTTCTGATTACCAGCTGCTTCGTTGGCATTCCATAAGATATACCATACTCATCCCAACCACTCTTCACAGCTACACAGTCATCCCCGGACACAATATAACAGTCCTCAATTCGTGTGTTTGTGCACGAGTCTGAAACCATAAAACCTTAGTCAGTTTGGCCAAGTTGTGCTGCATTATATATTGTACCTTATGAGAAAACATATGGAGATGTTTACCAACTTACCAGGGTTGATCCCATCTGTATTTGGAGATGTCACAGGAGCAAGAATTGTAATGCCTTGAACAATAACGTTGCTGCATTCAATTTCTTATGTGAAAAAACTTGAAACAATATAGTAAAGTGTGATGCCTTTCAACAAGGTAGTTTGCAGTGTCATTGATTCAAGATTGATAATAGGCATAGCAGAGACAAAAAAGATGAACCTGCTATAAACAGGATGAACATTCCAGGATGGAGAATTAACCAAAGTGAGGTTGGATATCTGAACATTATCTGAGTACATAATCTCAATCAGGTAAGGCCGGGTATAATTCAGCTGGCCATTGTGGAATTTTTGCCACCACAGATCACCTTGTCCATCTATTGTGCCATTGTCCCCTGGAAATAAAATTGAATTCAATAACTAAAAGAAGCAAATTTTAAGTTAGATTATATTTGTAATCCCAAAAGCAAGAGTTCATTACCAGTTATAACCACATCTGTTAGGTTGGTTCCAAAAATTAGACTGCTAAACCTTCCACCTTGGGTGTCCCTCCCTCGACCATAAGATGGAAGGGGATCAATCACCGGCCATTCACTTTCATCCTAATACCAGAGTTTTTAATACAAATACAATATTAACACACTTAAATGACATCAAGTGAAGAATAACATTTGCATATTGACCAACAAGAGTTAAGCTATTAGACCTGAGAGCCAAGAATTACAGCATCCTTGTGTAGGAAAAGAGTGAAATGGCTGGTGAGATTGAAGCTGCCAGTTAACCATCTTCCTGGAGGAACATAAAGTTGAGACCCACCATTTGATGTGTATCTGCTCAGATAATCTATGGCTGTCTGAAAAGCTTTTGTGTTCAAAGTTGTTCCATCTCCAACCCCTCCAAATTCTGTCAATGAGGCACTGTAACCTCTGCAGCTCATAGCACGGTACTCGAAGTAGTCCATAACTGGAGATTTGCGGCTCTCAACTAGAGTCATGCTTGGCAAAGCAACCATAAGAGCTAGAGCTAGTAATAATAATAACACATCCATGACCTGTCAAATTTCACATGTCAAACAATTCATATGTATCCGAAGATATCAGAAAGAAGAGGGAACACTACCCGGTTTTCCAAGGTTTCATTCTAGAGTAGACCACAAAAAAAACATCGGAAAAAGGAGGTACTATCCTACTGTACTTAATGCAATGATAGAAAGCAGAGAGTAAAATGAATTTGTTCTTGTACCTGTGTCTTTTTTTGAGAGAACCGGAACAGAATTGGGGTTGAGCTATTGGTAAGAAATTGTAGGTATATATATATATATATATATATATATATATATATATGAGGCAGGATTCTTTGACACCGGTGTCAAATTTTAAGTTTGACACCTCATCTGAGAGTCGTTAGATCGAAAAAGATCAACGACTCTGATTTATAAGTATGTGACACCATTGATCCTTTTTAATCTAACGGCTCTCAGATGAGGTGTCAAACTTAAAATTTGACACTGGTGTCAAATGATCCTATCTATATATATATATATATATAGAGAGAGAGAGGTAGGATCCTTTGACACCGGTGTCAAATTTCAATTTCGACACCTCATCTCAGAATCGTTAGATAAAAAAAAATCAATGGTGTTACATGCTTGCAAATCAGAGTCATTGATTTTTTTTTATCTAACGGTTCTGAGATGAGGTGTCAAAATTGAAATTTGACACCAGTGTCAAAGGATCCTACCTTATATATATATATATATATGGGAAAAGTGTGTATAATTTTGAAGGATGTAAAATTGTGTCATTTTAAGAGAGAGAAAGAGATAGATAAAGGAGGAAAGAGAGTTGACAAAAAAAAATAAAGTTGTGGGTCCCACCTCTTTGTGAGAGTGAAAGGATGTAAGTTGTGTAATTTAAAAGTATAGACATTTTTCCCTATATATATATATATATATATATAGGGAAATATAAGAATTATGTTGCAGGAATGACACTGTTCATTCCTGCAACAAGGATCCGCGTCCGTATCTTAAGGATACGGCGTCGTATCTTGATTTTGGTCTGACTTTTTTTTTTTAAGCGTGGGACCCACACTTGATTTGTGTGTGCAGGAAAGTGCTCTGATCATGTCATATGACATAAAGCGAATCCATATATATATATATATATATATATTGACCATTATTTTTTGCTTTTATTTGTGTTCCCACTCCCCAAAATAAAAAAAAAATCATATTTGTCACGTGATAACAGGAAAGTGAGTTGCAAGGTGAGGTTAGCAAATTTAGTCCATCTAGTTCTTTTGGACTTAATTGGATAGTGAATGAAAGGGTAGATATAAAGATTAAACAGAAATACTGGATCCCATTATTACATTTTAGTTAAAATTTGTTCTAAGCTCAAATAGAACGTAGGTGTATCAGATTGTCAAGAATGTATTACTAGACTAGATTTCAGTCTATGTGTAAGGTTAAATTATCTAGTAGGAGAATTGTAGTTACAATTACATAAATTAGATCTTCCAAGAACAAAAATTAAGTGCTCTCATTATTGTGTTCGAAAACTGAGGAATCTGACTCAGCATCTGTTTCTGAGGTGAAGCGGGGATTGAGGGAAATAATGAATTGGCATGTGGATTATGAAAAGATACTCTCAACAGAAAAGATTTGAAGATATGATTCCATCATTATAATGTTTGAGCGCACTGTTAATATATAATGCAAGGCCATCTTCAACTCATTTTATTCTCTCCCTAACGTGTGGTTCTCCTTCACTAATCCCCCACTTACATGTACGCACAAACATATACCTTTGAAGTTTTAAGTGGTGCACTATCGGTTCCGTTTTAAGCTTTAGCAGAAGAGTGGGATGGGCAATAATAGACTATGCCGTAGTGTGCATCAATTTGTGTCTTATCTTCCTCCAAATAAAAATATACATGCATGATTTACCTGCCTCTATTGTTCAGCATATCCATTTTATTGATGAGAGATATAATAATACAAAATTATTAATGTTATCTTTATCTATCAATTTAATTTTTCGTGCTGAATTAATTTTTTTTTATATAATATTGAAATTCGTGACCAAATAATCATGAATTTCTCCGTGTCCCGATTCTTTAGATAATAGTATACAATTTCTTTAACATATTATATATTATCCCTCTAATGGACTCTTGTGAGGTTTTCCCGTGCTATGCTTGTATAATCGTAGTAGTTTGCCTTGGCCGGTTATGGGTATTGGGTCGCAAGTAGCATGTTATTGTTGGGGGAGGAGGGTCCACATTTGTCACGGAACTTCGTCATAACGTGTCTACATTACCAACCATATGCCATCTCGTGAATATTTCTAATCGCAGAAACAAGATGCCAGTGTCCTCATGATAAAACTTCTTCACGGGCCAAATTTCAATTTCTTGAGAGAATCTTGTTGTTCACTTTCCCAAGTAACCTTTAAAAATTATGAGATTCACATTTACTTCAAAAAACAGAATAATGTTAAGGATAGGAAAAAAGAAAGGAGAAGTGTGTCATTTTAAAAGAGAAAGAGATAGATAAAAGAGGAGAAAGAGTTGCCAAAAAAATAAAGGTATGAGTTTCACCTCTTCGTGAAAGTTAAAAGATATAAGTTGTGTCATTTAATAAGATAAACACTTTTTCCTAAAAGAAATATTAATTTTATGAATATTAAAAATTTAAATTATTAAGATCGATCAAATTAATTTATTTAGAGAGAAAGAAACTATTATATTGTATAAATTTAATGGACAAAAATATCTCTAGTAAAAGTAATAATCAATTTGTATTTTATTTCTTAATTTCTTATTATACAGAATTTAATCAATAACTGTTAGCCATTTAATAAGGATAAATAAACAATTGACAAAGATTAATATATATTCAGAGATTTTCCTAATTTTATGAATATAATATATAATTTTATTTACTATCATTAACCATTCAGTGAAATCAATAACCATTCACTAACAACAAGTAATAATAATTTGAAAATTTCTTCCTAATAAGAGTATTTTCATCTATAGGAAAAATATATTGGTCCTTCTCTTAAGTAAATTTTGTGCGAAGCTTTTAATAATTTATACTTTTTGTTTGTTTTAAGATTAAATATTTTTTAGCTGTCCTTCACGTTAATTTTTCCTGTTTTGTAGAGAGAGAAAATCCCATCTGAAGAAATCCAATACTTATTGTCATGTGATTAACATTTCACGAAGTATTAACAGAATTAGATATGACCGGTTGCCTTAAAATAAAATGGAAAATATGATATTAAAAGAAGGAAAATATAAGAATCATGTTGCAGGAATGACACTGTTCGTTCCTGCAACAATGATCCGGCAACGTATCTTGAGGATACGGCGCCGTATTCTGATTTTGGTTTGATTTTTTTTTTTAAACGTGAGACTCACACTTAATTTGTGTGTGCAGGAAAATGATCTTGTCATGTGACATGACAAGAAGCAAACCCTTAAAAGAATAACGATAGCGGGTTAATTATACTAACTAAGATTTGATTTAAAGTTTATTTATGATATTTTAAATTTAATCCAACAACATATATATATATATATATATATATATATATATATATATAGAAATACAATTCACTTTTTAAGTTGTTGTGTGAGATTATGATTTTATATTTTTCTAACTCGCATTCTCATACGAGAGTTCATTGGGCTTGAAGGGTAGATAATTAACAGGCTCACGTATTTGTGTTAAGAAACTCAACAATACTTAATTAATTATTAATTAAATAGGAGATGGTGAGGATCAAATCCGTTATACTAAGACTTTGATACTATATAAAGAATCATTTTAACCCAAAAGTTTAAACTAATGTTGTCAAACTCGAGTTTCTATGTAGAAACGGAAAGGGGTGGGAGAAACGTAAAACGTAGAAACGACACGAAACGTAAAGTTTATACTTTCTACTACTTAAGGTCAAGATACAAAATTATATATATATATATATATATATATATATATATATATATATATATATGCATATAAAAAAAAATATCACATAATGAACATGTGCGTTGAGCCACTTGTCTATCTAAAAAAGAATTTTTTTTTAATAACCAAGTATCAAAATTATAAACAGTGATAACTAACAAGTATCAAATAATGGATAAAAAATATGCTATAACTACTTCATACACTCTGCAGATTTTGGATCATCACTCAAGATATAATTCCACTTCTTTCAATGCACACAATAATCCAAAAATACAAAACGATTCTCATAGTATAACTTATAAAAGACATGTATCCAAACAAAAAGATATCAAGATATTGTGCATATGATTTGAGAGAAACGAAAATTGGGTTTTTTTTATTATTATTTTTTTAAAAAATCTGTTTTAAGTAAAAACGGTAAAAACGTACGTTTTTACCATTTTTACACGGTGTTTTTACCAAGGACAGTTTTACTTGCGTTTTAATACGCACCACTCTAGTAAAAACGTAAGTTTTTACGTTTTTACACTAGTTTTTGACAACAATGGTTTAAACTGTTGAGTGAGGTTACATTAATGGTTTCATATTTCTCTTATAATATATATATATATATATATATATATATATATATATATATATATATAGAAAAATGTTTGTCATTTTTTTTTATTTTTTTTTGGTACATAGTGTTTGTCATTTTAAATGACATAAAGTTGTGTCATTTTAAGAGAGAGATAGACACAAGAAAATATTTTTTTATTTAAAATTTAAATTAAAAAAAAAACACTCACTTTCTCCTATGATTTTCATTCCTTGTGTCTATCTCTTTCTTAAAATGACATAACGTATTTGTGTTAAGAAACTCAATAATATTTAATTAATTATTAATTAAATAGCAGATGCTGAGGATCGAATCCGTTATACTGAGACTTTGATACCATGTAAAGAATTATTTTAACCCAAAAGTTTAAGCTGTTGAGTAAGGTTACATTAATGGTTTTATATTTCTCTTATATATATAAATATATATATATATATATATATATATATAAATGAATTCAGCATTTTTTTCTTTTGTATATTTAAAAATGTTTCCAATTCTTGCAAAAAATATTGAATTTCTCTAATCCGTATATTTAACTTAATGGTTTTTTATTTTTTTTCAAACGGGAGTACCTTAATACGAGTTACCTGATTTGTTTCAAGCTTTTAGGACTAATCTAGATCCCTCACATTGGTCAGGTGCTCTTACTTTTGGGCCAATCTAATACAATCTACTACACAATCCAAAAAATTACCGGAAAGCCTCGAGGCCTAAAAGGCCCCAACAATAAACTTTGTTGTCCTAATGTACTCTTATTCTGGGGCTTTTCGGCCTCGGTTGTTTTTTAAATATAAAGTTATCTGCATTTTTCAAAAATAATATTAATCAAATGCGGTTAAAGTCTATGACAATACACCAACACCCATTGGTTCAAATGGTAATATAATACCCCGAATAATTAAATTACGAATTTGAGAATTTAATTAGGAATTATTTCATGATTATGATAGAGTAATTGGATTAAAAATCTAATTGTAAGATTTTAGTCACTTTTCGGAAAAAAAATACAAATAGTGAATAGTTTCGTATATTATTGAAAGTTTTGGAGTAAAAATACAATTAAGCAAAAGTTATCCTGAACTTAAAAATAGCGTATGAAAAAGCTATTTTTATGAGGTTTATGAGTTAAAAATGCATGTTAAAAATGTTAAGTCATTGGTTAGAAGAATTAAATATGAAAGGCAAAATAATAATTTAGCAGAAGTTGCCCCGGATTCAGATTTAATGATGTGCGATACACTTTGCTAAGCCCATTGGTCTAATAATTGTAAACTAAATTGGATGATTAAATGGATGAATGGCAATTTTGTAATAAAGAAATGGAGCCATGGGCAAAATGGTCATTTGACCAGGAAAGATATTTTGTTAAAATATCTAAATCAATATGCACTATTCAATTTTTTTTTTAATAATGCATTCATTTTTCATTTTCTTTCTTCCTCGTCGGTCTCTCTTCTTCCTTAGCCGCCTCTGCCATTTTCTTAAGCTAGAAAACTCATTTGAAATAGTCATCAAAATGCTTAGCTTTCTTCATGGAAGTTATGTAGTTTGTCAAGTGGAGTAAAACCGATCAATTAGTTTCAAGATAGGAGCTTTGTGGAGGAAGAAAAGTCACTATAAAGTTGGCTATCAAAAAAAAAAAAGTCCTTATAAAATTTAGGTGAAATTGGTGTTCTTGGTGTTGGTATGAGTGATTCAACTCCTTGAAGCTAGCAAAGTCTTCCTCCTAACCTTCTAAAAGGATTTAAGGTAAAGAAACTCTACTTATTTCAACTAAGGGAGGTAAGACCTCACAGGGCAAGAGACCTATATAGAGTGTACAAGGCTCAGATTCTAGAGGATGGATGTTATTTATGTATATAACCATATTTTGAGAATTATGATGTATGATCATATTTTGTATAAGATAAATGGCATGTAATTTTGTATAGGATTGTACAATTATGAAAGGCAAGCTTGTGATTATGATGTGTGTTTAATTCCATATGATTGAAAAAATATGTTTTGTAATCCCTAAGTGTAGGAGACTTGTATATGACAGATATGGCATGGTACATTGTGAGATGTAATCAATAATTAAATGACATGTTTATGATGTGTGTTTAATTCCATATGATTGAAAAAATATGTTTTGTAATCCCTAAGTGTAGGAGACTTGTATATGACAGATATGGCATGGTACATTGTGAGATGTAATCAATAATTAATTAAATGACATGTTTATGAATGTGTTTTATGTTTATGATGTAACTTAACACAACTTCACTTTCCTACACACACATTAAAAAGGCGGGGTTCACATGTTTTTCTTTCTCTTTCATTATTTCACTTTCTCTCTCCCTTTTATTGTGTGTGTTGGAAACAAAATTTAAGTTGTGTAACATAACATTAATAAACCCTTTATGAATTGTATGTATAAATGAATGAAGTATTCAAATACTTGCGGATGACAATGAAGTATTTGATTACTTTTCGAGTTTTAACGAATACTCATGCTATGAAAGGCCTAAATCCACTTATAGTGAGTTGTGGTGTCTTGATAAATGTTAATGGAACTTAACTACTTCAAATATAATTGAAGGTCTAAAAATGACAAATTATCATGGAGTAATGAAATGGTTTAAATATAGTACAAGTTATATGTGTTTAATGAAATGTGGAAGTCATATGAAGTAAGAATGAAATAAAAGTGATATATTGCAATAAGAAGGATGTAGCAGCTTAAATTATAATAAAAGTGTTATATTTAAATTAATGAAGCAATTAAATAATGATACATGGTAATACATAAGGAAAGGTAAAAGTAATTCACATATTTACTTAGGTGTAATTGTGATTTTTATAATATAATCTTTCACTGAATTATCAATTATGTTGCACTTAATATTATATATAATGTTAATATTCCAATTCGAAACAGGATGTTACAAGTAAGAAATTTGTTTATCTTAATTAGAGATCTCGAGTTCGAACCCGAAAATAAAAAAAAATGGTCTAAAATGATATTGAAAGAGCCATATCTTATAATGGGTCTGACAAATCTCGGATAAAATAAAAGTATAAGTGGGACCCACAGGTAAGAAGAGAGAGAAAAAAGAGTGATGAGACCTAACCTTTTTTTGTTTGTGTAGGAAAATTGTTTATCTCATGTAAAATGAGATAAACATAACCCATATATCTAAACAAGTCGACGAGACAATACATATTGCGAAGGAGTGCAAACAAAATGAGTAAACATAATCCGGTCAGAAGGAATTGAACTGCCTTTACTTAGTGTTAGGTTATACACAACGTGGCATTCTGTTCAAAGAGTTTCAATTTTTTTTTTTTTTTTTTTGGAGATAAGTTTCAAAAGTTTTTATCTATAATATGTGCGTGGGTATACTGTAAAAACATATTTAAAATATAGCATTTTTTTGGATAAACCACAATTTTTCTTAAGCAGAATTATATATGTACCACTTAATTTTGAAGTATAACATTAAAATTTATGAACAAGCAAAGGAGAACTTTCCTCTCTTTAATTAATGAACTGTATCCGTTGCCACGACTTGACGCTAGTTCTTCCCTTGCATAATAAACGACATTTTACTCTCCACAAAATAATCATCAAGAATATTAACGATTAAAATAAGGATAAATATAAATGCACGAAAAAAATCTTTTCAAATTTAAAGATAATTAGTTTATTACAACACCATTGTAGAGGTACACATATGCCTTGCTAATATATACTATTTAATGATGAAATTTGAATGATTTCATCATTAATAAGTGCTAAATGGAGTAATAAGTATAAAACTAGGTATATAATCTTAAAATCACTTATGTACATTACATACTGTTATTATATATTAAAAACCCCGGTAGAAAACAGTGCTAAAATATGTATTCGTTAGCCCAGGTATAAGATTTCACCCCCAATTTATTCAAATAAAAAATAAATTGTAATCCATGGGGAAATTTCCTTAAAGTTAGAATTCATGTAGTAATAAGACCCTATCACATTAGGGATTGTTAATTTGTTGCTTGTAATTCTCTGGGAAAATTAAACAGTTCAAATTTCAGTTACTTGAAGTGAATAAATCGAATTTTAATTGTTTAGAATTCACAGATTTAGCTCGTAAAAAATCTGTATAAGAATCATTCCGAGTATTTGAGTTAAGCTTTTAGTTAGCTGCCCCCTCCCCCCAATCCTATTGTCTATCAAAAAGGAAAAGAAAGAAAGAAAGTAAGAAGCTTCTCTCCAAACATTTATCAAGTGTGTGGTTGCGAGTGTTTTTACTTTCTGGAATAACGATCGATGAGGAGGAAGGGGAATAACTTGATGAAGAAAACGGAAAGCGCACACATAGAGTTGTGAACTCTAAATTAACTTTGAACTTGGAAGTTTAGTGATTGTGCCAAGAAGAAGAATAAACTATAAAACTTAATGAGATCCACGTAAAATTAAAATGGAAGTGTTAGTCACTGATATATTACTATCTCTACAAGCAAAAGTAACAATCTGATACTCATTAAAAGACTTAATATACAACCAGTGAATCAACAACAGAAGCTCCGCAATTAACATATATAACATATGAAGAATTAAACAAGTTCCGTGCCAACTGAATTTAAGTATATGATATGAGAAGATCAACCAACATAAAACTGAAAGTTACAGCAAAAATATAATGTTTACATATCCTTGACACATCTGATTTCACTGATATATAAACAAACTATCAGAGATCGAAAGCACATATTGATGTATTACTTAATTGTTGATACTTCTTTTCAGAGGCATCACTACCAGGGAATTCCATATATATATAAAAGAAAATGTCACTTATCTCCAAACAAGTACCCAAGCGAGGAATGTCCACCAGGAACTGATTTGACTCTTGTTGAGGGGCGATCCTGAATCATTATTAATTTGTTGATGTGGAAAGGATTAATTTAAAAAAGAAAAGAAAAAAAGATGATTAACAAGGTTGAAACTTGAGAGAGATTAATTAATTGGTAACGAATATATTATGATATCATAACTAAATATCTCTAACTAAGAAGCTTACAGTTAGAATATTTCCCAAGTGTTGGCCTTGAGATCGGTCAATAACTTGGCTGGTAGAAGAAGCACCATCAACAGGGTGCTTGCCGTTGCCGTCGCCGTCTCCACCGTCGATATCAATGCCATACGGTGGCAATGAAACTGTCTTTGGCGGCGGAGGAGGCTGACTTGGCTGCTTCTCCTCTGATCCAAACAGGTATTTCAAAGAGCTCTGTCCACCACCACTGCTTTCACCTCTACTCATGATGGCTTACCTTCAAGATCTGTGCCACTGCTACCTAATTATAATTGATTTATTAAAGGCAAACACTAGCAGGGGTAACCCTAAAAATATATAGACCGGCAGTAAACAAAAGTATGTATAGTGTTTGGGAAAAAGTTTGTAAATCTTTGTAATTTATTCTTTTATCACTTATATTTTTATATTTATTTTTTTATCAATTATTTTTTATGATTTTTTTCCATCCAAATCCACCCTTAACAACGTTAGTAATTGAGCTAACTTATCCATTTTATTTTTATTACCCTAGAAATTTATATAACTGAATAAAATTAATTCTTCTAAATATTATTTGTAAATACAAATCAATTCTTTGACGGAAATTAATAATTAATTAACAAGTGTGATCCAATAAATTATAACTATTAGATTGACGGAAATCAACGGTTAAGATTTAGTAGTAAGAAGTAATAAGAAAAAAAGATAGTAAGCATAATCTTTCGGATTTTTTACCCTTTTGCCCCTCATTAATTAATTAATAACTATTTCGCCCCTGATTTGAAACTATCTACCAATCTGCCCCTCTTTAATCCTACCTTGCATTTTTTATCGATTAAATGGTCAAAACAGGCAAAAATGGCTGTTGGGAGATTTAATCGACTAAATCTTCTTATTTAATCGATTAAATCTCCCAACAGGCAACAAAGGGAAACAAGTCAGTATGATTTTTTAATCGATTAAGTAGGGAGATTTAGTCGATTAAATCTCCCAACAACCATTTAATCGATTAAAAATGCAAGTTAATCGATTAAAGAGAAGCAGATTGGTGGATAGTTTTGAATTAGGGACAAAATGGTTATTAATTAATTAATGAGGGACAAAATGGTCAAATAGTCATAATCTTTCTCTTCTTTTAAAAGTAATTTTACTAATGCAGCATTAGTTATAGAACTTGGATAAACTACGTCCAGGCTAGAATTTTCCGGTGATCCAAATACCTTGTCGGTTTTGTCATATATATTTAATAAAAAATTTAACAAAGAGGGATTGGTTTTAATCGGTATAAGACTTGATATCTTCAGATTGATTTTTATTAATTACCTTATTATTTTTAGTGTGAGATTTTATATTTGATAGATAAACTCCAAAACATAAAATAAGTGTAAAATGAACAAGTTAGTTTAATTACAAATAGTGTTAAAGGTGAACTTGGATAGAAAAAATCACAGGGAGTAATTAATAAGAAAAAAAGTATAGAGGTATAAGTGATAAAGAATAAATCACATGGGAGTTTATGAATCTTTCCATAGTGTTTTTATACAGTTGAATTGGTTTATTTTTTTAGGTTATGATTTTAGTTTTAACTGTAAACATCAGCACCAAGTTCTCCTTGAGTATAGCAAGGCTAACAATAAGGAATGCTCCTCTTAACTTTTTTGTGTAAAAAAAATAAATATATTTTTTATACAGAAGTACACTGTTAATGATAATGCACTGCACAATTAGTCATTACTTTTTTTTATGTTAATTTTGAATTTTAGTGCATATGTAAATTCCCTTGCTAAAAGGAGCAACGGGCTATGCGATGCTGTTTAAGGAATAAGAAGGAGCTTTAAGCAAAAAAAGGGTGAAATAGTTTATCAATGACAAGACAATGCATTCCCTTTAAATATGTCATAGTGACATAGAAGGTAGGAATTTTAAAGAAATGTTACTTTTACAGTATTTTTACATTGATTAATGATGATACAATAAATTAATAAATCATGAGGGTACAAATTATTTATCGAACTAATAATTTATTTAGTTTATTAGCAACAAATTTCTAATTCATTAATTAATATAAATTTGGTTGCAAAATTTATTTTATGAAACTTTGTTTTTTTGGTAAGCATTTTATGAAACTTTATAACTGCTTTCACTAACTATTAAAAATTTAAAAAGACTAGTAAATTAAAAAATAATTGTGGATTTATTTTATCCAGAGCCATGACGACTAGACTCGAGTTGATTTTTAGAAATATACTTGACTCATAATTCTGACATCAAAGAAAATCCACGTTATTATATTTCGATTAAACATGTATAGTTGCTTCCATTATTTGAGTTTAGGTATTTTCAATATTAATTTTTTTGTCTGGTGTAATATATGGAAGCTGGCACAACTTTATTTCTTGCTGAATAATTTAGTTTTTATTTTATTTTTTTTATTGTGCTTTGGTTACCTTTACACTTATATAAGCTTGTGAATAAAATGACTTACACCTGCTAACTTTATTAACTTGTAATATATCCATCTCATAATAAGGAGAATTCAATTATATAAAGTTCCAACGGAATTTCCGATCAAAGTTATAAAGGTTTTTTTTTTTTTTTTGTAATATAGTTATAAAGGTTTTGGTTCCTACATTTATATATAATGTTAAATCTTCATATAAAGTAATAAAGATAAGAAGAACGAAATTTTATACAGTGTTCAACATAATGTGGCTCGCTGTATTTATCAAGAAACTATAGCGACAATATCCATTACATCATCCATTACATCAATCAGTGAGTTTTCTCTTTATTGTTTCATTATTAATATTGGAAAAAATATTTATCTTTTAAAATGATATCATTTGTGTCATTTTATTCTCACAAAGAAGTGAGAGTCACATCTTTATTTTATTTTTTATCCACTCTCTCTTCTCCATAATTTATCTCTTTTTTTACTTAAAATAACATAATTTTATATCTTTTAAAATGATATATTTTTTCCATTAATATTTCACTCCATGGATCATAAATGCTACTATAGATCTCTTCCGGTTTATAAAAAAATAAGAGTGAAAATAACTATCGAATATAGTTAATTCAATAAAAAATTTATCTGAATAATTTAAATTGAAGTTATTTAGTTCTTGTACACGAGTAACACTACAATTTAGAGTTCGATATCATCATATCAAAATACCTACTGTCATATATCATAGGCCATAATGGTATATTTTCCACTTTGTGGTTTATTGAGGCATGTATTATAATCACCTTGGCAATCGAATAAAATAATTGATTTCCGCGTTAATTAAACACATATTTAGATCAGATCGTAAATTATGGTACGAAAGTGATGATTCACTAATAGAAAAAGTACAAGGAAAATAATGTAAATTTGGGGTGCATTGTCATTCATGGACGGACCAGGTGGCTTGGGCCTAAATGATACTTTTAATGTTGCAGAGACATTTATTAAGGGGATTAATATTTTTTATATTGTAATAAATAATTTTATTTCATATACATATATATGAGATTTATATGAGACTATGTAATAAAATAAAATAAAATAAATCTCATATTTTTATATATGTATAAGAAATAATTTTATCTCTTATAATATTAAAAAATACTAATCCCATTAAATGGGGTTAAATCGTGATAATGGGTATCATTCACCTTTAGAAAGTGTGAAACAGTAGGGCTGGTCTTGCCGTGGACTTGTAATCAATAATGGCTTGTATTCATCAGAATAAAGGTGAGGGGAAAGGAGTGAATTACATGGTTCGGTTGGCAGGGATCTTGTAGGACACAGGAATCCTTTGAATAAATAAAGCTAAACCAAAAAAATAAATAAAATAAGGGGGTTGATTTTCTCATATTAAATGAGAATTCAATTCTTATGTTGTAGAGATAAAAAGCATGTGGGACCCATGTGTTAGAAAAAATTACATGTAAGACTCATGTTAGCACAAAAAATAAGAAAAATTATATGTAGAAAAATTTGAATTCTCATCTTAAACGATAATTATAAAACTCATAAAATAAATAAAACTCAGGTGGGTGAAACCTAGCTATAATCTCTTGTCATCAATCAGCCCACTGTCTCTTCCTCGTATTAATATCTACTTTGGTTTTGGCAAATAACCAAACCTCGCCACACTGCGCCCCTCGAAGTCAAATTTGGTCCGTTGATTTCGTTTTTTTCTGTTGGCTTTTGTTCAAGGGGAAAAAAAGGTTATAAAATTATTTTAGATCATTTTTTCTGCAATGTAAGATTTTAACTATATTTTATTAATAAAATATAATTATAATTATAAAAAAAAATTCTTCTATCATGTCAACAAACAATATCTGAAAAAAGAAAAAAATAACAACTTTATTATTTTAATTATATTTTACCGGTAAAATATAATTAAATTGTACGTTACAAATAATTTATTTAAAAACTGTTAAAAAAAAAAAAGTAACCCTTTGATTATTTATGCGGTATGCCAATAATGACACTTCACCCACTTAGGTTAGGGGGAAGGTGAGGAATGTTTCGATCCAATCTTAGGTTTAATACCAACTCAAGTTACTTAATCCACAGATTGAAAACTAACATCAATTTCCCTTTTCTTGAACTTCTTGTAAATGGTCGATCACAAACAGAATAATTTTCCAACAATTATGCAAGAAACAAAGATAAAATGACTCAAAATAATTTTAGCATAGAAAATATTCTCAATATGAGAAGTGAAAATCATGGAACTGGTTTTGAAATCTATCCAAATTCTTCACTATAAACAAAAATGATTTACAAGTTATAGAACAACATCTACAAATAACTAGAGCACCGGTAAACAACTTAAACACAAGTTATATCAAAAGGTAAAAGGTATGCATACAAAAAAAGTTTCCAATCGAAATAAATTTCTACCACCAAAAAACCTCCACTCAAAAATCTCAATAGTAAGATTAAAGTAATACAAAAAATTAATAATGACGATTTAAAAACAGATCAGAGAGAACTCCTTCTTATCTCGTTACCCAAAATACTACAAAAATATCAATGCCCTTTGTTTTCGTTGCACAAAACCCTGTCTAATATGAAATCTGAATTAGAACCGTATCTGTTGAAACTTGTGTCAAAGATTTATCTCGATCTGATGGTGCAATAAGGAAATCTCAAATTGAAGAAAACTGCCTCTCAATTTCGCAACAAAACTAGTGTTATCTTTTTTTGTTTCTTTTCAAACAATGTCTAGGTTCTTTTCTTGTCC